GGAATTTGTTAATAGTTATTTTTTTAAAACTATAGTCCGCCCCTCCAACGGACTGAGGGACAGTGAACTGGCCCGTTTTAAAAGTTTGAGGACCTCTGCGAGTCTTCTAAGATTCTCCGCCATGAGAAAGGGCTACATTTACACTTTTTAAAAAAGAGATGAGTTCTAAGTATGTTGCCCAGACTGGTCTCAAACCTCCTGGACTCAAGCAATCCTCCCATCTGGGCCCCCCAAAGTGCTGGGATTACAGGCATGAGCCAGCGTGCCTGGCCTTAAATTTAAACTTTTAAAAGTCAGAACGAATCATAGAGAAAGAAGTAAACTTTTTTATGGGGCCAGATTGCCCTGATAGGATTCAAAAATAAAAACTAAAAGAATCATAACACATTCACCTTCTGGTTTCCAGAGTATTTCAAAACCAAAATAAAACAAACAAAACAACCCACCACCAACAGCAGCCCAGCACCATAGATAGGGCCAGGGTCTCTAAAATATTAAAGTACCATTCTCATTGTTGCCAGAATTTGTGCTGGAATTTTCCCTCTGAAGCTGATATTACCAAGAAAATTACATTAAAAATAGTTTCCAGCGTTTACAGTGACGTGTCTCTGTTGATTACAGAACCTTCTGAAAACAGTTAATTTAAATGTCATGTGATCAGAGGCTGAGCCGACATTGGGAATTAAGTGCCAAGAGACCCAAATCTGAAGGCCACACATAGTGCCCTGCGACTTTCTCCGCTTGATTAAAACTATTTGAGAAAGATAATTGCTACTCCTGAAAGTAAAATTGACGACGGAATTTTCTGAGTGACGCGTCGACTGGAGTTGGGGGCTACGCACGAGAGACGAGAACAGCAGGCGCCAGAGGCGGGGAAGCCAGGCCCCCGAAGCGCCCCAGCCTCAGTCCAGGGGCACAGCGCACCCCAAACGGCCGGGGCTGTCCTCGCTCCCTCGGGAAGCTCACCCGTCCGGGTCTCCCGGCCCTCCTCAGTCCCAGCTCCCAGGCCTCGCCATCTTCCTTTCTTCCTTTCTGCCCCGGGCAGGTGACCTCACTGCTCTGCCAACGCTCCCACCGATCGCGCGCAGAGCCAGAGCGCAGCGCCTCCGCGGCGCGACGGAGCCGGACGCTCGGGCCTGGCCCCCGTAGCTTCCCAAGGCCCATCTGAGACCTCCGGGGAACGCGCTCCTGGTCTGTCAACACAGACCCTCAGGCTCGCAGGTCGGGGAGGGGGGGCTCCATCAGTGAGCACCTTTCTACTTCCTCGAGCTCTGCGGGTGCGCTGGGTGTAAGCCAAGCACGCAGGGTGCCCGATGGTTCTCGCGCTGCTCCGAGGACCTGTTTCCCGAGGTTCCCAAGTCTCCCGACTGCAGCTCCCGACGTGGTCCATGCGCTCAGACTCGCTCTTGGTGTCCCTGGCCCCCCTCGGACCCTCCCAAAGCCAGATTCGTTCACCCAGAAGCCATCCCCAGGGGTCTCTGGGGAGACCACCGTGCAGAGTCCACGCGGCGCGCGGCTCCGCTTGCGTTCCGAGCGGGCCGTGCAGGGACACGTCGGGCCGCGCCGGCTGCTGACTAACCCCGCGCGGGCGCTGCGCGGCCTCCCTTGCCGAGCTTCGAG